CTTTTTATCTTGTTACAATTCAGTATATGTTCTAATATAGTATTGATTGATTTTTCATTAAATTGTAAGGCCTTGAGCCAGGCTAATAGTGGGCCTCGGAAACTGAAATTCCTACTCAAAGCTGATTGGATAATTTGAGCTATATACGTTGACTGTTGATTTGAGGTAAATACTGCTTTGTCAATTAGTATAGACATATTCATCTGTATGCTTTCTTGTAATTGTTGTAATTTTTTTTTTTTTTATATATATATATTGCCAACGTAGAAACTTTATTTAATTAATTAGGATTTTCACTAACAACAATTGTATATACAGATTCTAATTACATTTGTGCTACTTTAACTAGTCACCCAATGTGGCATTATACTCCTTATTTTTCTTATATTACTTTTCTATTAACTATTTCAAGCCAACTTCAAGCTAGGGTCAGTTGGAGCAACCTACCATTACACGTCCCACTATGTAATTATTTTCTGTAATTTTCTTCCAATTGTTGTAATCTAATTTGAAATGATAGAAGGGCTAAATTGAGTTAATTTAACAGTGATAGGATATGGTTGTGTGTTTGTATTTAAGCAATATCTGTTAGTCTATATGTAAGTGGGTTAGTAATTGTAAAGTTAGGAACTCCTCTTGCCAATGATGCTTTCTGCTTGACTAGTGAAATATAGTTTGATGTAATTGTATTACATATTGCTTGTGATAGTGCTGTGTTCTGCAGTTGGTATCTGAGTTGGGCTATAAGTACGGTATTTATAATATAAATTGCTTGCTTCTCTGTAATATGTGAATGCCTAATTTTGTTTAGCTGTTGATTAAATGTTCTAATAATTTGCTTTAAAACTATGAAGTTTGTCTTTGTATGATCTATATAGGTGTGCAAAAATCTTAGTGTTTGGTTTTTCTGAAGATTGTAGATCTGCTGATCTTGAAATTGAATAGAATTCAAATTATCCATTAAATTATATAACAGTACTGATTTGTTTGGATTAACTGTAATGTTTGCAAATTTGTGCAATACTAAGTATATGCTCTAATTGTTGTCTATTACTCGAAACCTATATAGTATTATCCATGAAAGCTAGTACTGATGTGTTTAGAGTTATTGTTTTGCTTGTCTAAGCATGTGATATTGATATCTCATAAACATGATATTCTGTTGATATTTTTATAATTAACGGGTCGTAATATATCCGCCATAATATTGGTGATATAGTTTCCCCTTGGTCTAGTCTGTCGTGTATAGAGTAACTAGGTGTTTTGCCCAGTGTAGTAATAACTTGGTTAGTGTGGTGTGAGAGAATATTTGAGATTAGATCTATAAATTGTTTTGGTAATCTAATTCTTTCTAGTGCTTTGACTAGTAATGGTATATAGACTGTATCATATGCTTTTGAAATATCTTGAGCCAAAATCCACAATTGTTTATTGTTAGTATGTGTATTTTCTCTTATATAAGTTAGCTAGTTAATTAGTTGGGCCATTGAGATACCTGGAAGTGCTACATTATTGCTAGAAGAAAGTATATCTAACTGAACTAAAATTGAGTTTAACCTATTTGTTAGAATCTTTGTTAGTATTTTTCATATATATTCAATAAGTGTAATTGGGCTAGTTCTATCAAGCTTGCCTTGCTTATAACTATTTTTTGCTATTGGCCAAACTAATCCTTGGCGCCATGCTGCTGGGATGATTGAGAGTTTCAAACATGCATTGAATATATTTAATATGTTAGATAGTGCGATTTTTAGTAAGTGTTTTAATATTTCATTTAATATTAGGGAGGGTTCTGTTGCTTTATCATTAGGTGTTTGTCAAATTGTATATGTTAGTTCTTGGATAGTAATTTGTTGCATAAGAGATAGGTAATTTTGGTGGCTAATATTTGACATAGGTTGGTAGTGGTTTGCCCACTGTGACTATAAGTTTTAGTTAGTAGGGTTGTAACTCATCCATGTCTCAAAATGTTTTGATATTTCTTTTTTTATAGTTATTGGTTCAACCAGCACTAACATTGGTGTTATGATGTTATTCAATTAAATATACTGGTGGTTTCTCTTTAGTATACTGTCAATCATTTTTGTTGTGTGATCTTGAAGTTATCTTGTCTTTTAGTGATTCTGTTGTGTATTGTATCTTTTTGATGATATTGATTCTCTAAATTCTTGGCTTGATAGATGGCTTTCCGAAGTTCTTTAAACCTTGAATATGTCTTGTTAAAATTGTTCTCATTGAAATCGGCTGCTGATACGCTTTCGATGATAGAATTTTTTCCAATTTTACTTAATTTCTGATCCAGATAAGATCAGTACAATTTCTATATTAGAATTTGGGGCAAAATCTCTATTATGTTAACTATATACTGGAATCTGAGCAGAGTCGAATGAAAAGTATTTTTTTTATTAAGTTAACAACCAAAGCAAATTAATTAAACATTGTAAAACTTATTGAGATACATCTAATAGTGGTTAGATCATTCAAATTGGCCTAGTGGATACCGAGATATTACCAAAAAATGATTGGCCGACTATATAAAATTTCTATGTAAACAATACTTTGTTTACATAGAATTTTATATAGTTAGTCAGTCATTTTTTAGCAATATCTCAGTATCTACTATACCAATTTGAACAATCTAACCACTATTAGAGGTATCTCAATAAGCTCTACAATGTTTAATTAATTTGCTTTGGTTGTTAACTTAATAAAAAAATACTTTTCATTCGACTCTGCTTAGATTTTAGCATATAATAAAAAGTTATATTGTACTTATCTCCAAAATTTACTATTGTCCCAATATAGTAATTATGCTGATCTTATCCAGATTATCAATTAAATAATTATTGATAGTAGTCATGATATAAGGTTCCGAAAGTAGTGAGAAATTATTAAGAATGTTTAATATGTGATTAATATTTTTGAATTCCGAATGCAGTTGGGTTGCCTTAAATGTAAATGATTTAAATTGTTTAAACCAAAGGTATTTAAAGATTATGTGTTTGTTAGCAGCCTGCTTAATAATTTGTTGAATATTTGCCCATGCTTTATTGATCTCTTGTTGGCTAGTTATCTCCTTATATTTTGATGAAACACTGGCTAACTGTATACTAATATAATTCATGAATGCTTTTTAGTTTTGGTTTGTTTTTGAATATAGATATACTTTATGTTTTGCTTTCTTTGTTCTTGGTATATGTAAGCAGCTTGGAATTGTCTACTGTGATTGTATAATTTTATAATCACTGTTAGTCGAAGATGCAGGTGAAGATAGAGTTGGTTGGTTGAAATCTAAAATTATTTCCTAGTTTGACCATATGTTATCTATTTGACTAGAGAAAGTATTGGATTGCCACGTTGGGGTGTTGATCTCATTAAAGAAGAGTAGACTGATCAAGTTCAAATTCATAAGGCAAGTAATAAGGATAGAAGAATTCTTCTTTTTTGTATTTGAATTAAAGTTATCTGCGATAATTATATGAAAATTATGTGATCTTGCTTGTTGGGTCTATTCAATAATTTTTTGTTGGGCTATTTCTATTTGGCTTGTAGGGTTCGAAAAGATGTAGACTCCTATAAGCCTTAATTTGTTGTTGTTGGGAAAGAAGAAGTCAATTGCTAAAGCAAAGCCTAGATGGTTTTTATATTGTAAATATATGGTTGCAAGGGGTTTTTATTGCAATGGCTACCCCTTTAACTAATTGTCTCAAAGAAGCATTGTATTCATCACAGTTGGTAGTATATATCTTGAACCAAGAATTTATTAAACTTGCCAGATATGTGTGTGATGCTGACAATTTAGTTTCTGTCATTATGATGATATCTGAGTTTAAACTAACACAGCGTTGCAACTATGTAGTGTACTTAAGATTATTGTTAATGCCTTAGACATTATGAACTGTAATATTCAAGTTTGTTTCCAATGATTTAGAGATAAATAGCTGATTCTGTCTATTTATAGTTCTATTGGAGTCTATACTATTTTGTAATGTTGTTGAGGTTTGTGTATATAAGTTTTGAGAATTATTCCTATTTAGTAAATTGAAATATATGTGATAATCATCATATATATTATCTAACAGTAAGTCAGTGTCCTTAGTATTGGCACTTATGATAGTGATGCATAGTGTCAAAAATGTCCCAATTAGGACTTGGTAAGTCTGGTAGGTCGTGAATATAGTTTGGTGGAGTTGGAATATTGAAGTAGATTGCAATAGAATCTAATATTTTTTCTATTTGTGTATATTTTTTGATGGGTAATTGTAATTTTAAATTGGGATCTAAAACCACTAGCTGTTGTTTCAACTCATCTATATTTGCTAGTAATGGTAATTTACTAGCATCTGATTTTTGTGTTTCACAATTCTGAATTTGTATTTATTCTGAGAGAATTTGATAAAAGAAGTAATGAATTCATAATTCTCTTGCAATATCAACCAGTTGTTTGGGTATAGTTATAGGTATAGTTAAGTTCATTTGTTTGATGTTTGTATGGTTCTTTGGTAGTTTGGGTTTGCTGGTATAGTTGAAACTGATATAGTTAGCTGGAATAGAGTCAGAAATACGATATTGTTCTGATATTTTAGCAACAAATTGAAGTGCACTGGTTTTGTCTTTAATGGGAAATTGTAGCTTCTTATAGTTGCAATAGATATTGGAATTGTTTTTTATAATTATGTAGTCACTAGGTAATCTTTTAAACTTATAGTACTGTCTAAGTTTAGACACCAAGTCTCTAAATTTGCTGTCATTTTTGGGTTTGCATGAAAACAAATACCTGACTTGGGAGTATAATTCTTGTAGTGTTGATAGTAAGTTTAACTTTTCTGGTAATAAGTCAAAATAGCTTGGTGGTAATTTCTCTTTAACAATATGGTACTTCTGAAGTCTTCGCCAGTATTCTGTTAGAAACTGTAATCTGCTTCTTTCTTTAATTAGAAATAGTGTTTTGATGTCAAGGTGGAGTTTACTAGGATGGTCTAGTAGTAGTATACATATATTCATGAAGTAAGAGTCAGAGAGTGTGAGAATTTGTATAGAAGCCTTAAAGCCTTAACAATTGTTGCTTTTTTGCTATTATCTTGTAGTGGTAGAGTAAATAGTATTATCTTTATAATATCTACTGGGATTTGATTTGGGTTTGGTGGTATCTCATCTCTTATATTCGTTTGAGCCAGACCAATAAGTCTTCTAGCCTGTTTGAATTGGATTGGAATTTCAATTCTACTAAAATTCATTAGGTAGTATATATATTGGGCACTAATATGATTACTATAAAGATCTATATTTAATATTACTAAGCTATCTATAGTGATTTTTTTCCTTAGTTTGTCATATATCTGGTTTCGGTTATTTTTATTAACTAGGTAGGCATTGTGTTGATGCTTGTACTTTTCAATGGCAATGCTCATTAGTATATTAAATTCTATTTGATAATTTGGTTGCTGACTCTTGTTGTGTAAGAAGAATTTGAAAAATGCTGTATCTCTATGTTTCAGTTTACTTGCGATAGCACTAGGTAGATTAATACTAGGGATTACAGTCTTTAATTTGTGTTGGATGAATTCTAAAAATAGTCTTTCATCAGCCATTGCTTCTAGAATAAAATCATTATTCCATGTATTGTGGTCAAATAGTTCTTTCTTTCATTTTTCAAGTTCATTGGTAACTTCTTCTACTAAGATTGAATGTTGGTTAATGTAAGTTTTAGGTTTTTTTGCCGCTTAACTATAGCTCTGTTTTTTTGTTTTTTGCCAGTCTATCAGTTGTTGATATGAGATACTATTGCCTGATAGTAATGGTATTAATTGACTATTGTTGGTTGTATCTATTTAATCTAGGTTTGGGTCCTTGTTATCCAAGTTATCATTCTGTTAATGATCTGTTGTAGTTTGTATAACTAAGGAAATTTGATCTGTTGTGGTTTGATCATCATTTATTTGTTGTTGTGGTGGGTTCTCTATGAAGGTAGTGCTAGATACACATGTGTCTTGGGTTGAAAATATTTTAAATAATTAAAAAAGTAGATTAGAGATATATTTATAGTAATTATGCAGGTAAATTTGCCTACAAATCTCCACGAATTAAGGGATAAGCTTAATTCTGATTATTAAAAGATACTTACTTTAATGCTAAATTTTATAAATTTTGTGCTTTTGAAATTACTATAGTAATGTTTATTTACAAAACTTTATAAATTTTTGTTAAACATATAGTTAAATTTTATAATAAAATTAAATTATGAAGTATAGAATGGTTGATGGAACACAAGGTAGAAATTTTACTCAAAAAAAATTCTACTTTATTTTTGAAATAGCAGCTAGCATTATTATAAGAGACAAAGTTATTTGCAAAATCAAGTTATTTGTTGAAATAACTTAAGTATAGTTTTCAATCATATCTATATTTATAGGCTAATACAGTGTATTACTCTTAAAGCAAATAAATTCTAAACTCCAGCCATCAAAATGTTGAGTTGTAATATATTAAAAATTTTTATAAATTTAAAACTTTGTGCTAAAAACTTTAAAAATTTAACTCAGATCTAATAATTAGCTAATGACAAAATAGCATAGCTATTAAGTTATCGACCAATTATCAGATCTTAGTTAAGTTTATTTTATAGTTAATAACTAATTTATTCTATGGTTCAATTATACTTTTTTTAATAGAAGTGATATAAATAATAAGTGTAAAATTTTAAATAAAAAAAAAGATTTAATTAAAAAAATTAATTTGTGATTCTTTTGTAAAGAATAGTATTGTTATAAAAGAAATTTTATATAATTATAAAGAGAAAAATTAAGATATCTTAGCAACTACTAGGCCAATTTTAACAATCTTACTACTATTGATCTACAAAAATTAGCTCTACAACTTTTATTAGAGATTGAAGAAAGGTTATCTTAAAAGAAAGATGCTTTACTTTGTGGATAGAGCTGGATTCTACTCATTATAAATTTTATATTAGATTCTTCTAACTTTTATTATAACAATACTATTCTTTACAAAAGAATTACAAATTAACTCTTTTCTAATGTCTTTATTCAGGTTTATATCACTTCATAGAAGTTTATTTTATAGACACCTTGTTTCATAGACAATCAGTTTATAGACAAGTTCATTTTAAAGACAATTAACTTATAAGCAGTTTATTTTATAAACAAAATTATTTTATAGACAATCTTTAGCAGCAAATAACTTCTAAATTAGTGTTAAAGATAGTCTACAAAATAAAATGAATTATCTATAAAATAAACTGTCTGTAAATTAATTGTCTTTAAAATAAACTCATCAATGAATTGATTGTTTGTGAAACAAGATGTCAGTAAAATAAACTTCTACAAAGTGATACAGACCCTTATTAAACAAACTTGAATCAGTTAATGAACTATTAGAATATAATTCTTCTAATGAAACTGTAGATAATATTCAATATTATATTAAAAAATCTAAAATCAAAAATACTGACTCCTGTATACAAAAATGAGTTCGAAGTATATTATAAAAAAACATTTTTTATAATATTCAAATACTTAATGATAAAAACTAGCTTGAGCAAAAATTGTATGAATTCTTTGCAGATATAAAACATCAAAATGAAAAACTATATAAAGTAGAATTAATTGTATCTGCTTATATCTTATTTTATTGTTACTTGTTTGAAGGTTCTGCAATTAAAAATGTGAATATCAATAATAGATTTTAATTTTCTTTATTATATTGTATTGTAAACAGAAAAACTATAAAATTACAAGATCAAAGGTTAGAAAATATTGACTAGTCAAAAGGTTTAACTACAGAAAAAATTGTCAAATCTTATTATATCTTAAATCTGATGAACAAACTGTATTAAAGCTTACTTAAAAAGTTTTTTTTTGGAATACATATTTGCTTAGACTTCATTATGAAGATCACTATTACTTTTTATTAAATTAGTTTGATTTTTAATTAGATGAAAGTATAATTTTTATAATTAGACATGAGAAAAATAATAAAGGTGAATTAGAAGGTTGAAGCAAATATAGAAGATTTACTAGCCACTATATTTATATTCCTGCTAATCAGCCTAATAATAAATTTAAGCTAATTTAAGATTTTATAATTATGTTAGTTTATGTCTATTAGATGCATATAAATATTTTTATTTGCAATTAACAAGAAATGCTCAGGAAATTAATAATAGAAACTGATTTAGTAAAGATAAATTAGAAAAAAATACCTTAGATAATATTATGAAAGAAATTATACATGTTTCAGATATTAATATTGATGATCAAAGAATTACCAATTATTTAAGAAGAAGAACTTCTATTTAACTTTTATCAGATCTTAATATCAATGAGTATGAAATAATGTAAATTTTAGTTATTGCTCAGCTACTGGATTATGTACTTATAAAAATCCTGATAATTAACAACAGCTTAAAAATTCTACTTTATTACTTAATGTAATTCAATAATCTCCAATTGTATAACAAAAATCTCAAATTATATATCAAGAATCTCAAATTATGCAACAAGAATCTCAAGTTATACAACAAGAATCTTAAGTAATACAACAAGAATTACAACAAGAATCTCTAGTTATACAGTATAAAGATTTTCAAAATTCAGAATATAAAATTCAAGTTATACAAGATAAAGAATTCAAAATTCACAACAAATCATATACACAATAAAGAATTTCAAAATACACAAGTCATACAAGATAATTCTTCAATTATATAAGAATTTAATACTACCTATATACAAGTTAAATTGCAAATTTCATATAAAAATATTTATAAAAAAAAACCAAAACTTATATACAAAGAAGTTCAAGCAAAACTAAACAAGCCTTTCCAAATTCTATTTAAAGATATTCAAAATCAAACCAAATTTATTGAAATGACAAATAATATTCAAGTTAAAAAAACAAACAATACCAAACCAATTGAAATAATAAAAAATACCCAACATATTAAACCATTAAAAGATACTCAATGTATTGAAAATATTGAAACAACAAAAGATGAAACCACTAATATTTTTAAGTTTCATAATTCTGGAGATATTAAAATTATATTTAATAACAAGTAGAGTAATGAAAAATATATATTATACAATTAGGTCAAATGGATTAGTATTATATAAATAGCTTTGCAATTTGCAATTTAAAGAATTTTAAGCTTTAGCCTAAATAAATTGGCTTGGTCTAGAGAATTTTAAATAGTTATACTAAAAATAAAAAAAACTAACCTAGTCTAAAAAATTTAAATACCACTAAAAAAAAAAGTAACTGATCTAAAAAATTTTAGAAATTTACATAGTTATAGCTAAAAAAAAAAAGAAAAAAATTAGATTTAAAATTCGGATTAGTCCAAGATCCGGACAACAAATATGAAGAAATAGCGTGAAGTGTAAATAAGAACTATAGAATAAATGATTTTTACATGTTTAGTTATATGAGATCATTGGAGCCTTATAAGAAAAGTATATGGGTTGTGGTAAGAGTTGGTTTTAGGAATATATGAAGTGGCAAAAATTGTATGGCACATTTTACAGAATGGTACAGTAAAAATGGCACAAACATTTTGGTAAGGGGTGGCATATTGTATTAGTCATTAATAAGTAATTATTAAAATCAACTTAGTATGAAGGAGGAAGTAAATTAGTGTTACTTAGCTTAGCCTCCAAAACATGTATAAAAGGCCTTCGAGTTCACTTTGACTTTATCTTCAAACTTCGATACCTTGAATACTCTATTAGATAGTTCAAATTCTCCTTTATTTTTCTCTTTTGTAATCTTTATTTTATTCTTTATCTAAATAAAATCTGATCTTGTTTTCATACACAACTATTTAAAGCCTAAAATAATAATAAAGAGAACTACCATTATCATGTGATATTGTGATAAGGAAAAGTACCAATTCTACAAGAGTGGTAGAAATCAAAACTATACAACCTTCTTGTATCTTCATATACATTAGGTTGTTGCCTCTTTTAAAGCCTTAACTTAAATCCTCTTTTAGAAACGTTGATAGTTTTAACGTCTCTTATTGCTTCACCAAGTTATAGTATTTAGGTCTTCATACTTCAAACACTTCATTTCCTGAACCTTGTTATAGACTGTAAGATAAAAATTCTTTAGTCATCCAAATCGCAGGATTGAACTTCCTATAAATTGAGACAAGACTTGTATGGATTAGTGTATGAGTTTTACCTTAAGAGAAAACACCGAAGTAATCAACTATCTAATATTATATAAGAGTAACAAAAAAGACTCCTGTGATCTTTATTACCAGCTCCCAAAGAAAATCTCTCAAACTTTTAACCAATTTATAAATTGATATCTCTCACCTATTTAGCAGAAGTATTCACCAAGAAAACGTTTGAGTACTTTAAAGACTTAGAAGTTGATTATCAGCAACCTCAATCTTTGCGTTGCCGAAATACGATTGTGAAATTAATTTTTAGTATAGTATATACTAAAATCCCAGGAAACCTTGTAGAGATAATTAAAGTTATAACCAACATTGCTTTACATACCCAGTGTTTTAAAACTAATCCATTTGCTCTTCTTACTTCTAACTCTATTAAACCTAATATAACTTCAAATACAAATATTTTGAATTTTCTCAAGAAAAACACCAAGGAATCTATCTTGGTACATGTTGAACCTTTTTTAAAAAATGGTTCCCAAGACCCGTTGCTGTAGTTAGAAAGGTTTGAAAAAGCCACAGCTGTAAACAATTGGAGTTTTAAAAGAATATTACAAGTTCTTTTAGTATTTATGTTGGAAAATGCAGATGAGTAGCAGGAAGTTTACTATAAGAAAGCTGGGATCACTAATTTCGATGAAGCTAACTGGAAAGCTCTTGCTAAAGAATATAAGACATATTTTTGTACTACTCATTGGAAAACCTATTGGCTAAACAAATTAAATAATCTTAAACAACAGATAGGTGAGTCTATTGATACCTATAATAGAAAATTCATACGGTTACTCAAATAAGTTAAAATTGGAATGAAGGTAGAGGATGATCAAACCTTATATTACTTTAAAAAGGGGCTGCACCTAGAACTCCTACCTATGATAATGCTTCATGAGCCGACTAGCATAGAAGACATTATCAAATATGCCTGATTTCATAACAAGGAGTTGAGTTCTCAGTAGAGGCTGGCCCAAGTCAACCTACAGTAAGTAGAAATTATAAAAAGAAGATTGAGCAACTTACAAAACAAATATAACAAATAAGCTTAAATTATACCACTATTGCATTGGCATTAGTAGCTCAAACATAGAAAAAGCTGCCCAACAGTCTAAGAAGCATGAAATAAAGGACATTATATTTTTCAAGTGTGGCAAACTTGGTTATTTCACCAAGAATTGCCTTTAAGAAAAGACTGTAGTCATAGAACTACAGTATAAGATCAAAGAGAAACCTAAAGAAGGTAGTAAAAAGGACAAATCCATTAATATAAACCTAGCCATTACTGAAGAAAGTAGTGATAGTAATGATGAACTATATGTGATTTGTCCCCAACTATATAGTACAAATCAGAAGAAGCAAAAGGACAAGCAGAAGCAAAGTGAATCTAAAAAGGAACAGGTCTTGTTAAACAAGGCACCTAAGATTCAAGTGCAATCAGAACCCAAGCCAGAAGAGGAAATTCCAATAGAGGTAGATAAGCCTAAAAGAATCATTAAAAGGTAATTACCTTCAGAAATTAATAAACTAAAGCCCTATGATATATCGAAAGACTTGTTAAACACAAGGGCCAAGCTACTTATAGTCAATTACTTAAATATCCTGACCAAAAACAAAACTTAGCTAAAGTATTGAAAAAGAAAAAGAATCCAAAAAGTAAAGCTAATCATATAACTTTGGATAATCCACAAAAAATAATTGCAATGCGATGTTATATTCGCATTAAAAGAATACCAGTAGTCACTATTCTGGATTTTGGAGTAGCTGTAAGTATAATTACTAGAAGGTTAATGAAGAAATTAAAATTAGAAACAGATAAATCTTCAAAAACTATGGTAATAACTGCAAACAAAAATAGGGTTAAGGCCCTTGGAATTGTAAGTAGTATAAAAATAATGCTACAGGACATAATCATCTTGATTAACCTACAGGTAATAGAGTCTCAAGAAGAGACCCTGTTATTAGAGACAGATTGGTTTGATAAATCAAAAGCCAAATTGAATTTTGAAAAGAATACCTTATACGTTAAGTATTTGGATAAGCAAGTAACTGTTAACACCACACATATTATTAATCAAACTTCACCCCAAGAGTTAGAAGAATTCACCAATGAAGATGAGTGGATTGATGAACTTGAAGGTGATGAAGATGAAATCCAAGAAGTCTTTTATTCTGATACTATTGAATCAAAAGAAGACGACACCTTTTATAATCCATGGTTTAAAGATAACCCGGCAATATATTTAAGTGATGCTGTAATAGAAGAACCAGTTAAAATTAAATTTAATATCAATAAAGAGTTACTGTAGAAATAGAACAGTATGAACAAGTTAAAGACTTATTACAAGAAAACTTCCATGCCTTCGCTCAAAAGATAAGTAAAAGTGAACAAATAGTGGGGTTGGGTCAAACCAACTTAGTTTGTTATGAAATAAATACAGGGAACACCAGGCCAATTAAACAAAGGCATTATAGCATGGCCCCAGACGAACAGGAATTCTTACAAGAAGAGTTAGGAAAATAGAAGAACAAGGTATAATCGAAGAAATACAAAGCCCTTGGGCTTCACCAGTGATAATTGTACCTAAAAAGGACAACAAAAAGAGGATATGTATCAATTACTATAAGTTGAACATGGTAACCAAAAAGGACATATATCCTTTGCCTAATATCCAAGAAATTCTTTCAGCCTTTGATAGCGCCAAGTAGTTTTCTAGCCTTGACCTGGCAAGTGGATATTGGCAAGTAGAAGTGAAAGAAGAAGACAAAAATAAGACTGCATTTATAACAAAATTTGGAATATACCAATTTAATGTTATGCCTTTTGGGTTGTGTAATGCACCCTCCATGTTCCAGAGGTTAATGGATCATATGCTAGGGCCCTTTATTAATAAGTTTTTAGTAGTGTATCTTGATAATATCACCATATATTCGAAGATGCTTGAAGACCACCTTTTGCATCTCTAGCAAGTCCTTGAATATTTGGCAAAAGCTAACCTAAAGTGCAATTCAAAGAAATGTGTATTTCTCCTAAAACAAATAAAATTTTTAGGTCATGTGAATGGGCAAGAAGAAATTCTACCTGATGAAGAAAAAATTGAAAAAATTAAAATTTTCTAATACTACCACAATTAGGCAGATATACACTTTTATAGGACTGGCATTCTATTATAAAAGATTTATCCAAGGCTTTTCTAGAATAGCCAAACCATTAAATCAGTTATTGCAGAGAAATAAGCCTTATAGATAAAACTAGAAACAACATAAGGTATTTAATACTCTTAAGAATTACCTTATAACCGTGCTGATATTGCAGTATCCGGATTTCAATAAGCTATTTTATCTTTATACGGATGCTTCAACTCTAGGTTTGGGAGCTGTTTTATCCCAACTTGATGATAAAAATAAAGAGTATGTTATTGCTTATGCAAGCCGAAGTTTAAATAAGCATGAAAAGAATTATTCCATACCTGAGTTGAAATATTTAGCCATTATTTGGGCTGTAGAACATTTCCATCAATACTTGGGTTTCAAGCTATTTTATCTCGTAACAGATTATTCAGCACTTCAGTGGTTAAGGACATTTGAGCTTAAGGGCAAATGCGCCAGATGGATCCTAAGATTGAAACTATACAACTTTACCATAATCTATTGTGCCAGGAGAAAACATAATAATGTGGATGCATTATCAAGACTACATGATAAAAAAGAAGAAGAAATACAACCCATGTATTTTGTAGGCCTAGATAATAGAATAACAATAGATGATAAAGTTTTCAGTACCTCACCCCAAAAGAAATATCAGGAGGTAAGAAAACTTTTAAAACCAAATCCACCAGAACACACACTTTTGGGTTTGTACCCATACAATTAAATAAAATTCACACCAACGAGTATAAGGTACAATGATCAGTATTGTACCTGGTATTATATAGAACATATTAGTAGCAGATTAGGTGCTAAAACAAAAGGTAAACATTGGGAATATGACTGGAAAGGTCCCAATGCACAATGCTGGTGTGGTAATAAACTATATATGTTTACCGAAAGTGGCATAACACTACATATTCCTTCAGAAAAAGTCCCATATAATCCCTGCCAACTTGAAAACCAATTACTAAA